AAAAAAAAAAAAAGCTTCTGCAGCTAGCTGGTTAAAAATGCAATTTAAACCTTACTTTCTATTGTCCTATTGTTCTTTACTATATATATTCTTTTCCTATTCAGGCTTTTCTTAATTTCTGTTAAGTAAACAACTAAGCTGCCTGCATTCCTTCAGGTTTTTGATTTAAGCCCCTCAGTAAGTATCAAATCATGTCTGTGCAAAGACAGAACACAAATTCAGTACAAAACAGGAAACAGAGCTCCTTGCAGGATTCCAGCACATCCTATTTCCTCAGACTAGATGGCATGCTTTTCTAGACATATTTCTTCTGAATAAGCAGAGAGCTTAGCTGTAGGGAATGGGGTTGCTTTTATCACTTTTCAATAAAGTCAGTCAGCATCACCATTCACAAGTTCCTGATTCATTCACCCACTGTTACAGTAATTGAAATATGACTCAGCTGTGTCTTGCTGCCTTACTGTAACTGTTTTCTTCCTCAGTCCCTGCTTTCATAACTACCTCTGAATACAGTAAAGAAAGAAAACGACGAGCAGCATCTTCTCTCTGGCATTCAGACAAAGAAGAAGCTGGGTAATCTATTTATCATATGCATGTGGGTTATCTCATTCAATAGAAAATAGCTGGCTACAGAGAAAAATGTAATTAAATTTGCAATAATTAAATAAGCTATAGCTTGTACTGTTTTTCTCTCCTGCAGTTCATTTGCATGTTCAAGATATTGTTTTTTCAGTACTTGCTAATTGTCCTGAATTAGGCATTGGGGTCATGGCAAATCTGAGGATAGATGCTTTTGAAAGTAAATAATGCTAAACCAAAGCCAAATGTATGTGTCAAAGAAATTAGACACAGGTCTCTGAACAAACAAAATGGGCTGAATGTGATCAGTCTCCAGAGACCTTTTTTTAAAATTAATTGACACAAGCAGTAAAATTTGTTTGGTTACCAATAGGGATGGTTATGAAGTTTCAAAGAGGCTATTACTGGGTCTGTTATGCTCATAATGCTTTGCCCTATGCTACTTTCCCCAGAATAAAGCCCATCGGTACTTAAAGCCTCTTTTCCATTTTCTCTTTTAGCAGCATAGAAGAAAAAATATGAGTTACTGAGATCTGTTTTTCAACATAATTTAAGAATACAGAACACAATCAGAAAGTGAGATTATATATAAAGCACTGGACTGGGGTATGGAATGATAAATAATTTGCATAATGTTTATAAGAATCCATTCATTAGGTTAGGGTCAGAAACAGACTTGCTAACAATGTCTAACTTGCACTTCACAAATACCACCTGTATGATACATAAGTACATTTAAAGTGTATACCTAGCTTGTGCTTTGTCTATCATAACTAATTTAGTACCTTTCCTTCTGAGTAGGTATTGCGTGGAATTTAAAACAGAATCACTTTCACACCACTGTGCTTTGGAGAATCGGCCATATGCTCGATGGATGCAGTACCTACGAGAAGGACATACTGTGTGTGTAGCTTGCCAGCCTCCAGCTATGGATACCGACACACATCGTTGTTCTGGAGATGGCCATAATGCAGATGGGTAAAGACAGCCATTTTTCTACTGTCTTTTCTGTAGCAAAACCCAGTACGGAAGTTAAGATTTCTCAAGATCTCCTTAAAAGGTGCATTTATTATAACTAAAAAATGAAACAGCTCATATAACTTACAGAGCTCAGCAGATTTACCCTTTCAGTTCTCACAGAAATTGTTTTTAAAACCTAGATAAAATAATTTCAGCATAAGAGTTCAGTGATTTGAATGCTTTATTTACTATTCTGAAGGGATGATGTGGCTTCTGTAGTGCAAGAGGTCTTTTTACAGCTATAGGGACTTTTACTTAAAAGTGGTACTTCCTGCCATAATCCAAATCTGATTTCAGGTTTAATAGTGGTGGATCGGTACTCCTCTCAAACCTAATACACCTGGTTTCTAGAACAGTAATTTTGAAAATAGACATTTAATATTCAGAACAGATTTTTATTTGATCTATAGATCTATTAATATGCATGCTACTTAATATTCGTACAACCAGCTACTCAATCCACCATCCTGTATACTATACTTAGGAATATAGAGCCTGCTCCAGAAAGCATTTTAAGAGCTAGATGAGCTTATTAAAGACTTACATTACTAAGCAAGTCTAATCTTCTGATATGTTATACAACATAACCTAATAACATGAAATATACAGCCTTCTATGTTTTAATTCCTTGTTTATTGTTGAATTTCAGAGGTAAAATCTTACACTGGGAAGCAGTTGGCAACTCTCAGTGCCAAGGAACCTGGAAGAAGATTCGGCAACTGAAGCACTGTTCATGTCCCCTTGTGCATAGCTTTATTTTTACATAAAAGTTTAAAAGACCTTTACAACAGCAAAACCAAAAAGATAAAGAAAATTAACACCAATGCCAAGAAACCTACACCTTCTGCTGCATTTTTTGGAGTCTAAATATACTTTAAAGGACTCAGAACTTTGAAGAAGGATTTTGGGAACCTCTGCCTTAATACAAAATGCTAAGATTGATCTTTGTATTAGAAAACTAGAAGCATGTTTCCATATTTCTCTTTTGTAATTAAAGAGTTAATTTTTTATCTGTAGTAGCTGCTTTTCCTAAAGTTCTCATTCTTTACTGGCCTCAGTCCTGTTTACACGCACTGCTCCTACTCAGTAGTGAGCCAGCAAAACATTCTCAAGTCTGAGAATTGTTACTGTCATCACTAAATAGCAAGGGTCAATAAATATGAAAGTTTGAGAGCTGAAACCTTATTTCAGTTTAGAACCTTTGTTCCTTCCCAGTATCATCTAGACACTTGTTTATACTACAAGTGGCTAAGTATTCTTCCTCCGCATTGCAGTTTTCACATTCAGCCACCTTCGTAAAAGCAAAAGGCTAGTCAGCGTTGTTAAGGAAGCAGTCTTGCTCAGAACTCCATTTCATTAATACACAGTGTGAACTTCACGGCAGACGAACCTAAACAAGACTTTGTGACTAAAGCCTTGGCTAACATTAAAAAACAAATACATATTGCTAGTTAAAATGGCTCATGTACAATGATTAACATATTAGAGCACTGACAAGACTGCTATGCAGGTAGCTCAAATCCTTGTTTTGTTACCTATTACTTATCTGGAATTATTGTTACAGCATTAAAAAGCTGCACTCACTTGTCAGATACCTGCTATGACTATTTTTTTTTTTAAAGTGTTGGCTGACAGCTGCTCTAGCATTCCTTGCTGAAGGACAAAGCCTATATTTTATCAAGATCCTGAAATTCAGAGTGTTTGGCAAAAATAAATTATGCCTTAAGGTTGAGAAAGTTTACTGTTAAGACATGCAGCACCTCTGTGGAACCTAAAGACTACTGCTTGCTGTCGTTTCTAGCAGCTGCAAGAAGAAACCGTAGCATCTGGTGGCAAGAATGAGGAAGGTGATCTGGTTGAGGCCCTGTTCACAATAAGAGTGTGAAGCAAACCTTTATAACTGTACTTTACCATTTTATCTTAATGAAAGCAGGCCTCCAAAACAGAAAGCAGAGAGATTAACTTAATACTTCCTGACCATTTCAGCCTTCAAGAATATATCTCTTCCTTTGTAGCCAGGGAAAAATATCTCAGAAAGGTTTGGACAGATGCTTTTCCTTGTAAGGTTCTTGAAAAATAAAAACCTTATCCAAGGACAAAGGTACAGAAAACATCAGAATTGAAGATATTTCACTTTTAGAAGAATGCTGTGATACGTTAGTTCAAGTCATTAGATTTGCACCAGTATGACAGTGGAAAATATGGGTTTTCTGAGGTTGTGAACTCTTTTCCACACAATCTGAATCAAGAGAGACAGTATAGTACCACCATCCATGTGTTACAGTCTCTCATGAGCAGGATATTTACAGTAACCAACTGACACCTTGACAGTTAGTTACCCCCATCAGAGCATATCTTTGCTTGCTATCACTGCAGAGACAGCGGAGAGCATAGATGAAACATGTCTCATGAGGTGTGCTATCAGTGCCAGTATAGACTCATCACTGAGCCCTCCTTTGGCCATTCGTTTATGAGCCTTCCCTTTCCTGGTGGTCTAGAAACCACTTATCAAGACAAGGTAAGTGGCACAAGGTAATCAAGAGATGTTAAGAGCTAGTGTCATACTGTTACTTTCCATATGGTTTCCATCTCTTTTGCGAGATAAGGTGTTATTATGCCAATATACATAAATTGAAAATAATCTTCCACCTAGAACTTAAGCTTAATTATTTCTTAAAAAAGTAGCACCTTTACTAGTTATAAATATAAAATTGCATGGTGTATCACATTCTTTAACTGCAAAAAAATAAATCAGTTTGCAAAATTAGCAATACCAATACATACATATTTTTTTGTATAACTTACTGGCAGAAATGACAAGTCTGACCACAATGAAGAAAATCAGATTAGAATGGGTTATATGGCAGGAAGTAAAATTACAAAAAGCTCAGTCTGACTAGAGATACAGTCCTTTAAAAACACAGAACACTTTACTCTAGCTAAACATGTTGCTTGTCACTTAATACCCCTATGTACATAACTGACCTTTCTTGAATCACCACAAGCATTTTCACATTTCAGAAATTAGGTCGTCTATTGCGTGTAGACAAAAGGCCAGGCTTTACATTTAAGTCATCATTACCTGAGCAAGTGAGTTTACATGAATGTTTTATACCTATTACTATTCTGTTTCATGTTTTAGGACAGCAACACTGCTGGACACTCTGAGTTATTATTCTGAAAAGCTAGACTAGGTCTTTATGTAGGAAAATATCAAGAATAGTTAATTCCTGTAGTCCAAATTAGCCCTGTTCGATCCTGCACAGTGTTCTCCACCGGTCTTTTAACATGACACTAGTTCGGTTGTTGAAGTCACGATGGACCAAAATTTTAGCCCAGTTCCCCACTCCAAACTCCTTTACTCCTGATTTCAGCTTCAAGTCTTCTTTGTAAGTCCATCGCTAGGGGAAGAACAGAGAAAATACCAGATACATGAACAGAGAAAGGTATTAATGTGAAAGCTAAGCTTATAGCAAATATAAAAGCAAGTTATTATATAGCTCTCTATTTATTACAGAGTACAGATGCACGAGGGTCTGTAGGGTCATTTGGATTTCTTTTGATCACCAAAAACATGACACTAAATACAACAACAAAGGTTATCAAGTCAAAAGCTACAACACAGTAGCTGACATCACCTGGAATGAGAACCATGTGCTTCAAAGTTCACAAGTTACAGGAGGAAAAGAAAAAAAGACATTGGGCAAAGTTTTGCTTCATTCAAAATATGTTGTCCAAAACTGTACTTTATTAGGCAATCGAGCCAAAACAAACCTTGATTGATCCTAGTATGCATCACAAAAGGGAAATAATTTTGTGACACATTAATCTAGGGACTGAGAATCAAGCCACCATTTACCAACAACAAAGGAATTTCAGTGTGCTTAGAAAAAAAAATCCCGATATTTAAAATGCTGATAGAAGCAAAGTGACACATACTACATTAGAAAGAGAGATCAGCCATATCCTCATTTGGTTTTGGCCATTTGTTGAGTCCACTTAAGTCTCACTGTCATGACCTACAAGCTTTTTACTCTTTAGGGAATTACATTTCTCTCATAACAGGAGAAAAAATTACTTGCATCTATATATCTGTAAGCAATCCCTTCCAATGGAGTACTCCAGTGTACCAGCCCTTCCTTAGTTGCTTCTCAAAACAAATATTTCAATACAAACAATTCTAAGACTGCACACAGCATGAAAGAAAACTGACTTTAAAAAAAAAATCAAGTATTTGATTTTTAAAAACTTACTTTTACAGTGAAGTGTGAGGGAGAACGGAGTATCAACTTGCCTTTATTGTAGCTTTACAGAAATATGCATAAATATAACAAAAGTTTACAGATCCTATATCTCATACCTATTTTTAACCACTGCATTTTTAATACATGTGTACTGCATACGGTCATTTTTTCACTCTGGAAGAGCAATTAGCAACTTTAACATGAAATTATTTTAAAACAACTTATTCTGCTAGAATATTATCCTCCACAAACATCTTTAAATTCCTACTTGCTTATTACACAACTAATCATACTGATGTATGATCAGTACACCTCCTTAGCCAAACTGAATTGCGTATCATCTGTGCAAATACAGGACAGGATCCCCAGCTGAAACAACTGTTCAGGAAAACTGTTTCAAAAACTAAGTATCAATTTCTATTTCAAATTGCAGCTTGATAGCACGTTCTTTCTAAATTTATTCCCCAAAATCTGAAATGTAAAGACTTAACTTACAGAAAAAATGTAAACTTAAGAATGTTAATGAGAACAAGGTCTACAGAGAATTGTATTGTGTAGCTGTTTCATTTAATTTATCTGGGTGCATTTCTGCTTCTTGCACTGGAGATGTCCTGCTGCTCCTGATGGTCTCATGGACCGTAATAAGTTATGAAGGAAGACAAATTGTCAATTTTCACTGACCTCATGCTAGCATTTCTGTGAGCACCAGGAGATTCCATATTAAAAATTATTAGTTACCAGACCTTTACAAAACATGCATGTGTTCACGTGCATGTCACGAGCAAATAACTGCTGAAAATTCAACCAAGAAGCTCTCTTACTTCTGCATTTAACTATTGCCTGTGCTTTACTTATTTTGGAGTTGCTCTGAAATAGCAAAAAAGTCGGTCCTTTTGTTCATAAGAGCACTATGAAATTTACATAGGCAAGTGATCAAAAGCACTGCAAATACTTACTCATATTTAGTATGTGAAAGTGAAATATGTCTCATAGGTCTTAGCAGATCTCAGCAGTTAAGCATTTGCAGCTTATGGTCTTGCTGGTCAGCACAATTTAACTGATAAAGGAGTAAACTAGTTCTAAAAGGAAATACTGTCTAGAGCCTCTTTGATTTATGTCATAGGCTGTTGTTATGTACCATATGCTGCTTATCTGACATAATTTTGGTGAAAAATGGGTTGTAAAAGTTATAGGAACTCTGTAGCTGCCCCAGATGGGCATAGTTCACTTCAGCAGAGGCCACTGCTCTGCTGCAACCTGTCCTCTCCTATAGCCAGAGCAACAAACTGCTTCTGCTCTGCCCTGATCTAAATTGCAATTTGGGTTATTTCCTCAACAGCATCTGGTGTTGTGACTGGGATTTACACATCCTGCTTTGCCTGGGAGGACCACAGGCTGCTTAGTGCCGAACCACCGGCACTGCTGGGAGAGGTGCAGGACCTTTCAAAATCCCTGCTAGGGCTTCGGCCAAGGGTCGTCTGCAGGCTCCTGCGGCGTGAGGGGGCTGGTGAACCCCAGCTTTTAATACAGGTCAGTCCAGCGCCCCACTGCCAGCTACAAGAGGGAAAGGTAATTGTAATTCTGATCTGGCCAAGGTTAAGTACAGTAAAGGTAATTTAACTTCTGGTATCTGCTAAAATTTAGGAGAGGTTGCTCAGGAAAGTCTGTGTTGCTTTCAGCTATTAACATGGGATGAACAAACTGGGTTCAGGGCAGGGCTGAAGTCCCATGCAGCTACCCCTGCAAGGATCAGCATTAACTCAG